CCCCTTGCAGTCACAGTGCCTGGCTGTGTGTATATTATTTTTTTTCATTGCCTAGTTTCAAGCACTAAGCATACAGAAGCTTTTATAAAAATAGTTTCCACTAAAGCAGGGATGTCAAACTCAATTTAATCGTGGGCCGCATCAACATTATGGTTGCCCTCAAAGGGCCTGTTGTATCTGTAAGACTATATAAATGTATCTAATCTTTATCATGATTGCCTCTGCATTCGATTTATTACTGGTTTTAGTAATAACTTAATACCTAGATCTGAAAGCAGAAGTTTATAAAATGGCCTGGTGGGCCGGATTCGGCCCCTGGGTCTTGAGTTTGACACATGTGCACTAAAGGAAGTCGATGACAAAAGAGCGTTTTCAAAAGATATTTGGAAAGGACCAATGAATAATGGCATGTGTTTGGAAAAAGTAAAATTGCAGCAATGGAATGCCTTGTAAACCAGTTGTTGGAATAGATTTGTGGAGGTTTTCAGCTACTGTTGTCTGCTGACATATTACTGAAAAAGGCTAGACGTGACATGTATTGGAGACACTAGTTGCACAGATGTATTGCTGTGGTAGGCTGGTGGACTTTTGGATGAGGACTCTTGTTAAACAATGTGGCCAAGGTAGGAAACTGAGATTAAAACAAACAAAAAAAAAAATCTAAACTTCCAGTAATCCATGGTTTAGATTCAGGGAATGTGAGTTAATGGACGCAAGTTTATTTATTTTAATTAGTAATCAGTGATGTGCTCTGTCTGCAGAACAGAGTTCCTGGATCCCAGACAATGCTGGCGTTGGCTTCAGATACAGTGCTTCAGTTCTGCGTTAATTAGCCCTAGGCTCCTTTAATTATAGAAAAAAGATGTCTTTACGGATGCATCTTCCTGCCTGGTGCCAGTGCCATAGATCACATACATTTTCATGTAAATACAGTCTGCATTATTCTTCATGTTAAATGCTGATTGCAGTCCATTTGAATTGAGTAGAGGGTGCCTCTCATTGGGCACAGGAACTGGCTCCGTGCATATTGTTCTAGATTGCAGTTGAGGTGTGTGTGTGCGCGTCTACTTTAGTGAGCACCCCAAGATTAGAACAAATGTGCAGACAGAAGGGTTGGGAGCTAATAAGAACATGCTTGTTCCTGGTGAATGACTCCCCCAGCAGTGAAGGCACTAAGAATGACAGTTACATTGTCTTTAGGTGTCGTTCACAAGAGGGCCAGAAGTGACCTGGAATGTGGCACGAGAGCACCTGCCATGTGCACCTCCAAAAAGCCAGGCTTAAAAGGGTTAACTAAACCTTGGGCTTAGTTCACCCTTTCATGTTCATTGAGCTAAAAAAAAGCTGCACTAAAATTGTAATTTACCATCATTGTGTGCTAAACCTTCAGGCTGGTTCACACCTGGGCGTTTTGTAGCGCGTTCGAACGCTCTGCAAAACGCTCAAACACCGAAATTCCATTATTTCCTATAGGTATGGTTCATACCTGGGCGTATTACGGGCCGTATGAACGCGCTACAAAACGCCCTATGCCCAAAGAAGTACAGGAGCTTATGTGGGGCGTTTTTGTCGCGCGTTTCCATTGGGATACAGCCAAGTAGCCCTCGGAAATGCACATTTGGCACGCGGTTTTTACCGCAAATCGCGCGACACACACGCATATTCGATACGCCTAGGTGTGAACTCAGCCTTAAGGACACTAAATGGGAAATGATTAATGTGTAGTCTTTATATATATGAAATGGTGGTCAGAAGGGTCAGATTGCCAAAATCATGCAGTTTTGAGGTGTCTTGATCTAGCTATTTTGGACTTGTTGAGAGACTCCTCATGTTTATAAGTCATGCAAGGTGATGACCAACATAGATTCCTCAGAGTGGTAGGACTGAGCTGTAGTGCCATGTTTTTTCCACATTTGCTTCGGCCACCAATGCCAGCTTTTCTCAAGAGAGCAATAGCTTTCAGGACGGGTAAAATACTGCCCTCAACATTCAATTGTTTCTTGACTGTATGGCAACATCAGTCATCTAACTATGGACATGTTATCGCGAGTGTTTGTTTATATATCTCCCTGATGAGCACATCCTAAAGCTTTAAACTGCTTCATGTTTGAAATTAACCAAGGCAATGAAATCCCCAAATAAACCATTTCATCCTAAAATATTGTGTCTATTAGTTACCAAAACATATACAGTATATTTCCATCACTATTCTTTAAAAGGTCCTATATGTTTACTGCTAAAAGAATTATAATTTACACGCCTAGTGTGGCTTTAACTATCCAGAATATAAGGCCTATGAAATCAGTCACCGTGGTAAAAGCAGAGGTAAGACAGAATAATGTGTGAGAAGGCAGAAGATGGATGGTTATCAAATAAACTTACATATTTTTTTGGGTGCAGTGATGTGGAAAACTTTGCAGAGCCAAAGAATGAAAAGGGAGACAGGTTTTGGGTGGTGTAGAACAGATTGTCGGTTTATTGGGAGCGTTCCGTTCCCAGCTCTCAGCACCTGCTCTATTAATCCTCTCTGCAGGTGGAAGCTGGACTCTTGTTCCTGCAGAGAGGGACAACATCTGTAACCTCACAGTGGGACATACACTTTCCAATGGCCAGCTGGCAATACATGCTGAATAGCTCATTTTTAAACAGATCACTTTTAGTCCTATGTGTTCAAATGAAATATATTGACCTTTTATAATAGAAATAAGAATCAGTTCTTTTCACTAAATTGGAAACATAAATCAAAGCCTTTCAGCTTCCCATAAAATGTATACCTGTTTAATCATTGCAAGCGGGCAGTCACTGGAATGCCAAAGACTGCTGTGCACAGCCCCGTAAGACCGCTGTAAGAAGGATTGATGGACTGAGACAAACACTTTTTTCTTCTTCTGGCTGTCTGCCTGTTTTGTCCTATTTTTAAACATGAATGCATAGGTAAGGACAAACCTGAGTGTCAAAACGCATGCAGGGTTTGTGGGTTGTGTGTGCGCATTTTAGGGCCTGCAGTTCAAGCATCGTATGGCAGCCTTTTAAAACTAATTTCCTGTTCATCCTCTGCCATCTGCAATCTCGTATACATTTCTTCTACAAAAAACTTGAATGAACCACAGAAGCTTTGTTTTTGTTTTATAGGATTAGGAGTTTTTTGCGTTTTTGAGGCATGCTAAAATCTTTATGGAGCCACGTTTCTCGGGTTATCCATTTGCAGTAATGCCAACAAAATAAAATTGACTTACAACTGCAGAGGGACGAACACGCTGTCTCTGTTCTATTCTTGCACATGATCTGTTTTTCATTTTGGTGATATAGAAGTATTTCTTTCCTGGAATCATATTGTATTAGAAAGCTGAACTAGAGATGAACTCTAATGTAGTATTCCTAGTGAGTCAGTTGTAGATAATTGTATTGCTGGCTTTCGCACACAGTGGGTGACGATTTATCAATCTCCTGCGTTCAGTGAACAGTCACAGCGTACAATTAGACACAAATTGTGATTGATTTGCCGTGTTAGTGCTCATTCTTTACAGGCATCTGTCGCTCATAAAAGCTGTTGCAATACTGCAAAAGTGAAATTGTATTGTTGAGCGGATGCTGCTTTGGCGACCCCCCCCCCCTGCTATCCTGCCAGCAGCCCAGGAAAGGAGCAGTGAGACAGCAAAGGACACGGGTGGGACAGGAGCTGTCTGACAGGGGCGGTCCAACAGTGTAAGGGACACGGGCAGGATAGGGGCTGTGACAGTGTAAGGTACACGGGCAGGATAGGGGCTGTCTGACAGTGTAAGGGACACGGGCAGGATAGGGGCTGTGACAGTGTAAGGTACACGGGCAGGATAGGGGCTGTCTGACAGTGTAAGGGACACGGGCAGGATAGGGGCTGTCTGACAGTGTAAGTGACACGGGCAGGATAGCGGCTCTGACACTGTAAGGGACACGGGCAGGATAGGGGCTGTCTGACACTGTAAGGGACACGGCAGGATAGGGGCTGTGACAGTGTAAGGGACACGGGCAGGATAGGGGCGGTCTGACAAGTGTAAGGGACACAGCTGTCCAGAGAATGATTGATTGGCATCTAGGGGCCTGTCACACCGTTCCGGTGCATCCAGCACGATAGTGCTTGCAGCATTTTTTTAGAGCGCACTAGACTGGAACGCAGTCATTGTTGTGCCACGCGTTTTTGGGGTGGGCGATCGCACTGCGGGCAGGGGACGTGGCTGCGGTTTAATTGACTTCAATGCACCGCCCCTGAACGCAGGAAGCCTGCCGGGATGCGCTCCAGTGCATTCCAGCAGCGAATCGTACTGGAGCTGGTGTGAACTGACCCTTAGAAACCCGCCTTAGGGCCAGTGCATACCTGGGCGATCTGTGACCGTGCACAATGCCGTGCAGATTGCAGCACGGTCACAGAGTTGCCCATCACCAATGATCGCGCTGTGGGTGCCATTATTTTCGACCGCACGGTTTCCCCTGTTCTAAAACGGCCGCGCAAAGGGACATCTACCTTTTTTCCCTGCGATTGCCGCACGGATGTACCTCAGAGGATCGCTCTGGTCTTTCCCTGGACCTCATGAACAACCCTTCTAAAAAGCAATGAAGTGAAAGTTAATGTAGTTACATGACCCCCGTAAAAAACAAAATGTTAGGTGTTTTGATCTCTATTCTTTAGAGATCATTGAAGCAGCACAAATTAAACACCAACCTGTACCTAGCCTGTGATTGTACATGCAGTATAACAGGGCAGAGTCCTCAGTGTGATGCGTCTTTCACTGTGCAAACTGCTGGTTGACTACATATCAATATAGTGCTCTGTACTTGGCTTCTCTGTGTGAGTAATACTGTGTATAGAGGTTAAAGGAAGCTGGTAGATTCAGAGATTTTTGCCGGCACTGTATAACATTTTAAGCCCATTGTTTTACAATGCAACACATTTGTTTATAATAGTATGCAAAATGATTGTCTTTTTTTTTCCCACCTAATATTTATTTTTTATTTTTTTCTTGTAGGTTGTGCAAAATTCTGGAAAATCTGCTTTTCTGTAAACTTCAGATAAAATGAGCAACTACAGTGTATCTCTGGTTGGCCCAGCTCCCTGGGGCTTCAGACTTCAAGGTGGCAAAGACTTTAACATGCCTCTCACTATCTCCAGGGTAAGCATAACTGATATCAGGAGCGTGTGTTGTGATGCCATGTACGTCACGCATAACATTGCTTCAGAGTGGTACTGTTATTTATAGCACTGCTTAGATATGATGATAAATGTAAAACTGTGAAGTCCTATTGCAGACACAAGGTATTGGCATGGGTAAAGACATGCAATAAAAGTCATTTTGTTCTGTTATTTTAAAATCCTATTTTTATACAGCAATCATTAACCCTGAACATGAGCTGGTCAGGAGCTGAGATTTGTAAGAAATATAAATTCCCAATCATAAGCTGTTCTGATGGTGCAGCCTTTCCTCTCAAGGATAGATGTGCTGTTATTTACTTGTATTCTCTTCCTGTTAAAGCAGATGTTATCCCAGTCCTAGGCTGCAAGTTCCTCCTAGAACAGTGATGGCGAACCTTTTTGAACCAGAGTGCCCAAACTGCGACACAAAATCAATTTATTTACCTCAAAGTGCCAGCGCTGAAAATAAGTTTAGTACTGTATTGCAGTTCGGGCACTCGGGTTTAAGAAACGTTAAACATCACTGCCTTAGGCCCCAATTCACTCCAAGCGACATATCTTACAAGCGGGGCCGGGATAGCGCGACTGTCTGGGGCGACGTTCCAGCAAAGATCGCACAACCTTCAACGTCGGGCTGCATTGAAAAATAGAAAAATCACGCGACATCCGCGGAAAAAGGGTCCTGCTGAAGCGACAGTGATGGGCGACATGGAGATGTACATTAGAACCGCTCCATTGAATAACAATGGCCGGCGACTTCTCGCGATAATGCGCAAAGGGGGGGCTGTGTGGCTCTCAGGCAGGGGGGCTGATTGGCGCGGGGGGCGGTAACAGCTTTTAAAGCGTCGCCTATGGTCAATTTTGGGTATGGTAGTTTTCTGCATTTCGTGGGTGCGCGCAATTTTAAATGTTGACATGTTTGGCGTCTATTTACCCGACGTGACCCCGTCTTTTATATTTTACCAAATGCGCGTGTGTGTGTCAAAAATGTTCAGCCCTTTTTTCATTATATAGTAAAAAATAAAAACCTCAGTGCTGATTTAAATACCACCAAAAGATATCTCTGTGCCCTCAAAAAATGGTATAAAATTAATTTCAGTACAGCGTTGCATGACTGAATAAATGTCAAAGTACCGCAATGCCGAATACTGAAAAATGGCCTGGCCATTAAGGGGGGTGTAAACACCCCGGTCAGCAAGTGGTTAAATGAGCTTTAGGCCTCATTCACATTGCCGCGCATATACGTGCGTATTGTGCCATATGCAAATAAATGGCTCCATAAACACAGCCGCTTATGGAGCCATATATTTGCGTAGCGTATATATGCGCAAAAACAGAATGGAACAGAGATGCGTCCGGGCAGCATATTTCTGCGCATATACGCGCACAGCACATTAAAAATTCCATTACGATTGATGCATTCTGGGATTGCATGCAGTGCACGCATATACGCTCGTATAGACGCGTATATATGCAATATACAATTTTGCTTGCGTTGTGTGTGAATGAGGCCTTTAATCCGGCATAAAATACTTTTTTTGTTGTTGTTTAGAAATGAGTATTGGTAGTACACATTGTTATCTCTCCACAGTATATTGTTTAGATCATTGTGCTTATGATGGCTTATATAATCTGCTTCTGGGTTTACTCCAAACAATTTACCATTTAGTATGAGGACATTTTGTCATTTGCCAAGTAAATGGGATTAGTCTGACTGCATTTATCTCCTGTTGTTCAGTTTACTTTTCCTACGTAAAAAGGAAACTTTGCCTCAGACCTCTGAATAATTTATGCAGTTTTTTTTTAATTTGTGCCTTTGTACAAATATATGTCTGACATTTTACTGTTGAATTACAGGGAACAAGCTTTTATATTACTGTTTCCGTGTCATCACTGCTTCCTATAAAGAATTCAGAAGCCGTAAACCAATTAGTGGATCTTGTTGTCAGCTATACTGACCTTGGGTATCCTCAGGTCTGCAAATTTAAATGATTAGAATATTGCACAATCTTAAAGAGTCTTAGTCCACCACTTCAGCCCCACGGGTATTGGCATGCCTCTTTTTTGGCAGTGCTTAGACATGGTGACTGCAACTTGGGCATTGAGCACTGCTTTTGTTAGAGGTGAGCGGAAAGGTGATACGCATACGCAGTGGATCAAGAAGGGAGGTGGCCTTCTGCAAATATGAGCAGGGAGTTTTGAGTTGTAGTAGCAGACTGCTGCTGAATGTTTTCAGGGAAATTAATAATCAGCCTTGTTTATCTTTTGCTGTATGGCCATAATAATAATAATAATAATAATTTATTATTACTATTTATTTTATTCTGGTGTAAGGCTGGTTCACATGGAATCTTCATATCGCTGTTTTTTTCCTTGTTTGACTGTAGTTGGGGGGACATTTTTCTTATGTAGAGATACCCTTGTACAACTTACACACTTTTTAATATTAGAAGAAAATGTAAATAAGCTGAATATACACAATGCATAAATATTTCCTATCTGAGCTGGATCTCCATTTCTGTTTGATTCATCTCCAGTCACAACATGTAGAACTCTGACCTCCTCTGTTAAAAGAAATGTGTGCTTAAATTCGGGGCAGAATTTACCCTTATGTAAGCTGAGCCTGCGTGCAGTACAGTGGGGTAAGAAGATGTAGCAGGTTGCTGGCAGTGTGGGTATCTACATTGTCACTGCTCATTGGCAAGACTGTAGCTTGTCAATCAGCATCTGGCCAGACCTAGTCCGGCCCACTGCTTTCTGGTTTGACTGAACTGCCTCTATTGCTGACATCCTCTGACTGAGCTGCAGTGTCTTCGAGGGTGAGGTCCAAAAATAAGAAGAATGTTTCACTCTGCAGGTGTGTGTGTTGTCTTGTGCATAATAAAGTAACTGGACTTCAGACCTGTTTAGACAAACAGCTCCTGTTTGGGGATTGGTCCGGTATTACTACATGTGGGTGGGAAAGTCCCCGCCCCCCTGGCATCTCCATTTGGAGCAAATTAGAGTTTTTCCTCAAGGCTTGCCAATCTTCACTCCTGACAGCTAAACAGTGGTGGAAGAGTTAAGAAAAGTGGATGTCTTAAGAAAAAAAATACGCATGTGCAGCTAGGGAGGGGGGCATCAAGGTGAACCTATTAATATTTTGCCCTACATGGGCAAAGCACAGGTTCATGTCAAGTCTCTGACATGCTGCTAGTCATTAACAAACGCACAAGTATTGGGTATAACTAGAGTTCACTTCAGCTTTGTGCTTGATGGTAAATACAGCGGTGGAAGTTGCTTACAGATGGTTCCATCAAAATTAACAGTGTGAGTACCAGTCCAATTGAGGATTCCCACCATGGCAGACATGCTGCACTCAGCCTACAGAGACCAAATACTGAAATTTTTACTAGTTTTAAAATGCAAATAGGGTAACGGGAGGACACTAGTTTGTGTCCTCCCGTTACCCTAAGGAGAACTATGGGGAAAAACACTGATCCCATAGTTCTCCTTTTTAATCTAATTTATATAGATGTTTCCATCTTGTTTCTAGGAATTTATTTCATGGTTTAATTTCTTTAGTCCTTGTTTAGAATCAAGCCAGCATGTCGTATTTGACATGTTGACACTCTTGTCAAACAGGAGCATTGCAATGTTTGGAACCGCACTCGAAACCATGTGGGGAACATACCCACTGGGATAACAAAAAAGCTGCATTCAGGGGCTGACAGTATTGCCTCCTGAACCCACCAGCAGCGGCTGGTGGAGGCTGCTACACGACTGAATCAACCTAGTTGAATTTTTCCTTAGCTTTGGAGTAGTAGGGCTAGTAGATATGAATTCAGATAGCTAAGGCTACCTGCAGAGGTGCTATAATGTGTTGCAGTAACATAGCTAGATTCTGTTGTGAAAAAAAGCTCTCTCTTGTTCACGTGAGTAGGATATCACAGTATTTGTAATACAGTACACAAAATTGTATCTCCGAATCGGTGCACTGGGATGAGTGCTACTTGTACAATCTCACATACTTAGACACTAAGGCCAGGTTCACACTAGGGATCGTGCATGAAACCGCACAGATCGCTGCACATTAATGGAATCGCACCCCACTGCTGATTGCGCTGACGGTGCCATTCTTTTCTAATGGCCCCCCAGTCGCTCCAGCCAGATGCCGCGATTCCGCCCGTGCAAACTTCTTCAGTGATTGCTGCGCAGATATAACCCCCCCACCTTGATAATAAATGGGGCCTCGCTGTGTGCAACAGCATTACAACATGTAGTAAAAACTGGTTTAGCATTTGCGTTTGCTGTTTCTAAGGGCATCTGTGACATGTTTTAATTTAACACAAATCATGATTTTAGTTTAAGTGTTTAACCCAAAGAGCACTTAACTTCCAGATGCAGACATAACATGCATAGAAAGCAGAAGGACCTGGTCCTCATTCACACGAGAAACAGCCGGCATTTACTTCTGCGTGCACGGCCGTATGAGGCAGCCCCTGTCCTTCTCTATGGGACTACGTGGCCGTACACCGCCCTACGTTTACCCTGCACATCCGTGCGGATGCACATGCTCATAAGTTGATAGGATGGATCCTGTCTGCGTCCGAGCCGGGACACCCGCACCTGTACGTACCTGCACTTGGGGTGAGTGTAGGGTGGCGTACGGCCGCGTAGTCGCAGAGAGGACAGGGGCTGTGTACTAACCACATGCAGCACCTGTCCTTCCCGGGAGCTGCCCGATGCGGCCGTGCACGGAGCTGTACATGCCAGTCGTTTCTTGTGTGAAATGAGGCCTAAGTGGGAGTATAGCATGCAGGAAAGATAGGAGTACTGAGCTGGTAGCAAGAACACAGCCCAGTCAGAGCTGAAAAGCCAAAAGAACTGTCAAGTCCCATAAATTGTTACTTCAAACTGGGCTGTAATTTCAGTAATGAATGTTGTATAAATCCATTTTAGTTTTCAACAATATAATTGTGTTTCTTTTTACTTTCATGT